TGTAGGATTGGACAAATACAAGGCTGTCTCAATTTCACAGGAGAAATATCAAGCACCTTTAAGACCAACAAAGTTTTGTTTAAGGTATGAGCTTTTGTGTGCTTTGCTACTCTGTGTGTGTGTGTTTTGTTGTGCTCTTTATGCCAGGTCTCTCCTGGGTGCAACTGGGTTCCCTCCCCGTTTTCACTGTATTCATGCCCTCATGATCCAGTCTTTCTCAGTAAGAAAGCAATGTGAGCTATTTTGGAGGAGGAATAACAAAAAGCCAGTGAAGTGGATTAGACTGAGAGTGTGTGTCCAGACCAAGTTCACTCCCTTTGTAGGAAGTTGTAGTTATTTCTCCGGGGAAGAGTATAGTTTTGTAGACAAATACATGGCCCTCAGTTTGTGTTAGGATGCCTTCTCATGTTCTTGACCACCACATGAAGCAACTTATTTATTTATTGGTTTAATTTGTACCCCGCCCTCCCCACAAAGCAGGCTCAGGGCGGCTCACATCAATCAATACACAATTTAACACATAAATACAATTAAAATCTACATAAAATTATGTACAAAAGGTTGCAGTGCCCAGACATTTCATGTTTTCCCCTGGATCCTAGGCTAGGAACACTGAGCATGAGATTTCTGTAATAAATGTCAATAAATCAAAAGTAGGTTTGCAGCTTACATATATATACACCTGAACAGCATACTCCAGATTGCTACAGCACAGACATTTTGATGCAATAATTCAGAGCAGAGATGTCCATTATCAGAGACTGTTAAATAGACAAAATATTGCAAGAGTGCTAGTATTTTAAGCATGTTTTATTTAAAGTTTTAAAAATCTTTGTGTTTGTCTGTGTTCTTTATAAAATTTATATCTCCACTGCCTGGCATTACATTTTATGAAACACATGGCCCGGCCCAACAAGGTCTCATTTATGTCAGATACGGCCCTCATAACAAATGAGTTCGACACCCCTGTTCTAGAATCTAGTAGGATCTCTGAGCTTATATGTCTGTACCATTTTATATGGGGCCCCTTTCCTGCAGGTTGTTGGGACCACGTTCACCCTTGCCTTGAGTAGGTACTAGATCAGTCCATGGTTCATTCCGAATCTCCAGCCGGAAACCGGACCATTCCTCAAATGCTCTGTGCAAAAGATTAAGCCCAAGCTGTAGCCCCTTTCATGTGTTGGACCCATCATGATTTGAGAGAGGCCCAAGGCAGTCAACGTCTTGGGCTAGCCCCAGCAAAGTACCCTCTGCATGAATACTGAAGTCCCCCAGAACAATTGGTCTAGGTGTCTCCAAGAGCATCTCCGCCAAGTCAGGCAAGATGCCTACTGGAGAACAAAGCATCCAGTAAACATTGGTGTGCCTAACCTCTCCTTAGTTCCTAATATCAATAATCAATACCAGTGATAGTTTCCATTGGAAGTTTGTGGAAGTTGAAGGACTCACAGAGGATAATAGCCACCTCTCTTTCCTGGCCACCTATGCAGAGTTGGTAGAGGGCCACATAACCTGGCAGAGTTAGTTGGGACATACAATAACTTCTAACCACATCTCTGTTATGCAAGCCAAGTCAATTTTCTCATCATGTAACAACCCAGACCAGTCTGCAGTTTTGTGCCTCAGTGATCTAGTATTTCACAATATTGATAAAGACATGGAGGAAATAGGGTTCCTTGCATCACTGGGTCTCTCAGGATGCTATGGAAGTTAGATAAACAGTGAGCATCCTTGCCAAACAATGGCCATCTTTGGAAGTTCCCACCCCTTTATCTGCCACCTCCTGTCTGCATTGGAATACTGTATTTTTCAAACTGTCAGCTAATGCTGTCATGGGTAGGTGCCTGCTTATTGGTTTCACTATATCAGGGGGTCTAGTTTGAAGGGGGTATATCTATACGTGTTAGCTCTTATCCCCCCATTCCTGACACAAGAGTTCATGATGTCCTAAGTACTAGTCCTCAATAAACTGAAACTTCTGAAGGAATGTTGTTGAGTGTCTTGACTGGGAAGCCTGACACAAACATCCTTCCCCAAGTACTTTCATGTCATACACTGTTTAGCTAATATAATATTGTGTAACAGCTGAGTTGTGGTGCTCCAAAGATTGTGTCACCTACATACCAAAGTGACCTACATGTGTTCATGACCTGTGAATAAAGAAAGGCAATAACAAATTATAACTCCGTCCTCAACAATTTGTCATATTTTCGAAACTGACTGCAGAATTTCTGAAATCTCAGCACCGATATGCATTCAAAGCATTTGCTTTTCCACCTATGCATTCAACTCACTATCCCTTGGCCAAGACAATTAATGTTCCAACAGCTCAAAGGAAGGGGGAGAGGCATGGACATAAGGAAAGTGAATAAGAGCTACAGCTAGCCTAAATAACTTATGACTATTAGGTCTCAGATCTAGTATGTTAGGTTGCTTGTTTAATGGACTGTTAGGCTGTCACTCGTTGCATTGTTAACTACCTTCAGGCTAAGGAAATAAGGCAGGGTATAAATATTTTAAATAAATAAATAAAATGGCCATACAAATCTGAAATTGGGGGAAATGTCTTCTAGATCAAAGACTGTTACTACAGCATCCTTCACTGTAGAAACTGAGCACTGCCACGGACATGAGGGGGGGAAAGAAAATGGGGTTGCAATTACCAGCAGTAGACAGAGGGCAGTTGGCATGCTTTGTGGAATTTCTGTGTATAATTTGCACTTGGGATCTAGAACTGAAGTAGAAGAAACAAATACAAACAGAAAGGATTGCAGGGCAAGTCAGCTGTGAACAAGGAAGAGATTTTGAGGCTGGTAGATCAAGCCATAGTCATGTTTATAGCAGCATTTCCTTACACAGTCACGCCATTTGCAGACATACTGGTATCATATAGTACATGACTGAAGAGAGAACTGTAGAAAACCAATACATGCAATGCATTGTGATGTAAATGTGGTTCCAAAATAGCTATTAACGTTTGTACAGAATAAGTTATGTACAAAGGAACCCTGCACCTGGTTCCTACATCACTTTGATCCATTTTATGTCAGATTACAGTTTAGGGAATGCATTTACAATAAAGGGGGGGGGGAGGGAGAAGATCCTCAGTAAAGAGGAAGGAGGAGGAGGCTCAGCTTGCCCTAGGCTTTTCTGTCCACTTACTGTGAAAGTAGGCGGCATACACACTGAAGTTTTGTCACCAGCTGGTCAATCCAAGGGCCCTTAAGAGAGCATCTGGGGATTCTGCTTGAAGGAAGGAACAAAGGCAAGCAGCAGACTAACTGGGGTTTGGCAACAAACTCTGGTTGTTGTGTATGTCTGGTAGACTCACCAGCGCTGTGCAACAAACTGTGGCTTAAACCAACCACAACCAGTGACAGCCACAGCTGCAGATTTGTGTCCATAACACAACAATCTTGAACCTAATGAACTGTGCACCCTTTGTGCACAGGATTTCCATGCTGAAAACAATGTGAACACTGTGTGTGTATCATCACATATAAGGATTACACATCCATGCATTTCTCTTATTTACATGCACTGGAATATAGATGGTTTGCATGAAATTTAGAGGTAGGTAGTATATTATTTCCTACATTATAAGGAGCGTTTTTATATAAGAAGTACATAGCATGTGAAGCAGCTTTTAGCCTCCCAGGTTCAAGTCCAAGTAGTAAAATAGAACATATAGAAGAACTAAAGAAAAGGTGCCTAAAATGTCTTGAGTGTAAAGCCATATTCACAATACAGTGCACGCTTTGATTCTGTTAGATTGAGATTGAATTGTAGGGTATTTATATATTAACATGAGATTTAAAGCCATCATTTTCCCCCACCCCCAAGCACCTTTTAGTTCTGGAAGATAGCTTTAGGTCTGTGTTTTATGACACTTGGAGTTGACAGACTTCTGGTTTTAAAAAATGCCAATATTTGACAGGCAGCGAGCACTGATGCCCCATGTGGTCAAAAGTGGGTGCAACACTGAAATTAAGGTAGTTCTAAAAGAAGTTCCAGCCAATCAGTTATTCAAAACTTTATCCTGTGGGAAGTTTTCATCCCTGGAGTTATTTCAGCCATATGGCTTTTTAATACAGCATGAATACAGTGCTGGAGATCTGGTGGTCCCCTCCCCCAAATTCTTCTCAACCACATTAACAGCGATCAAGAAATCATTACTAGCATTTCAGTCTTTAAAGGTCTTATGTTAAAACTGTAAACGGAACACTTTTCAAGTTAACCTATAGGAAAAGTTCCTTTCTGTGCTCCAAACTCCAGTTCCCACATCGTCTAGTTCACGGAACTCGCACTCCGGCAAACACTTTATTTTAAACGTGCGAAGCATGAGGCAAACGGTCCCCCACAGATGTCGCAAGGAACTCTGGACTCTTGTGTTAATTGAAGGTTTAAACGGACAGGTGTCCATCAGGAGGATTAAAGCGGGCAGCCATGCCATCGCCTTTGAAGGTTCCCTTATGTCTTCGGCAAACTTCTGCCCTGCTGACTCCATCCCCCTCCCCCATCAACTCACACTTTCACACACAACCCCCCTTGGGCGGGATGCAGAGTGATCTCTGGTCCTGGAAGCTATTTAAGTACAAGCAAGCCAGCAGCCGTTTATTAGGGAGAATTTTCAAAAATTAGCCTCTCGCATGGAGAAATAATTCCCGGGCCACATTTTGCCTTCCGACCGCTATCATTTGCAAATCGGAGCGCCAGCATCAAACAAGGACAAAGTTTCACTTTTCTGTCGTCCCCCGCACTCCAGTAAGCTCTTCGGTGGAGCCTCCTTAAGGAAAGGAGGGGCTCCTCGGGGGCTGCTGTCAATCTCTTTAAGCCTTTCCTTTCAAGCTTTGAATGTGAGCTGCCCACTAGCCCCCCTCCCCCCTCCCCTTTCTCCAGCAGATCGTAAAGAAAGAGAGGGGGGGGGAGCTTCAACAACAGCCCGAACCAATAGCAAGTGGCAAGGCAGGGGAAAGGGGCCGAGCAAAGGGAGGGAAAAAAGTGGAGAAAAGGAGAAAGAACGAGCCAGCCGGAGTGCTCAAGCTGAGGGGGCTGTGTAAAAGGAGAAGAAGCGTTGCTAATTTTTTTTGTTTGTTTGCTTTTCCATGCATGCATAATGAGGCCTGATCAGAGCACGCTGCTGCTGCTGCTACTTGGAGGGCACTTTTGTATTTAAAGCCTCGCAAAAGGAAACAGCCGCCTCAGAAGGCTCCACAGAGAAAGCTGCTTGCGGGACTTGTCGGCAAGAGAAGCCGCAGCAGGCGGAAGAAGAGAAAAGGAGCTCCCTCGAGCCCGCTGCCTTTTCTTATGCAGCTCGCCGGAGGGGGAAGGCGGCTTGCAGCGCGCGGTTCGGAGCCCAGCCGGGGCTGCAGCTGACCAAGGGGAGCCTTGCCCGGCCTCGGTGGCATGCGGAGAGATGCCGCCCGCGACAAGCAAAGAAAGGAGGTCGGCGTGAGAAGGAGCCCGGCCGCAGCGGCAGCACCATGAGCACAGCAGGGAGCCCCTCGCCCCCCAGCCCCCGGCTCCACTGACCGTCTCACGGCCTCGCCAAGCCCGGGCGTAGGGGGCGGAGGCTGTTGTGCTGCGGCCAGAAAGAGGGGGAGAGAGAGAGAGAAAGGCGCCGCTTTGGGGCTCTCCGAAACGCTCCCAGGCCAAGAAGGCGCCGCGCGGATGGATTGATGAGGGCGACCCTCATGCACACACTTGGCAGGACTTTGGCCAACTTTCCCACCGGCAGCCGCTGCGCCCCCCTCGCCGCCGCCGCCTCGTCCCCCTCCCGCCCCCGATTGTCCCGCAGCCGCTCGCGATGGTGGGAGCCCGGCATGGAGGAGCTGGCGGGCGGCGCTGGCGGACTGGGCTGCTCCCGCTGCCGGCGGGCTCCCCGCTGCGGCCGCTGTTCTTGCTGCTGCTCCTGGGCGCCGCTTGCCCTCCTCCCGGAGCGCACGGCCGCCGCCTGATCTGCTGGCAGGCGATGCTGCAGTGCCAGGAGGACTCGGACTGCGGCTACGCTTACAGCCAGTACGCCGAGGCGTGCGCGCCGGTGCTCATGGCCGCGGGGGACGGCTCTGCCGTCGCGTCCTCCTCCAATAGGCGGCGGTGCCCGAGCCACTGCATCTCGGCGCTCATCCAGCTCAACCGCACCAGGCGGGGCCCGGCGCTGGAGGACTGCGACTGCAGCCAGGACGAGAACTGCCGGGCCACCAAGCGCGCCATTGAGCCCTGCCTGCCCCGCACCGGCGGCGCGGGGGGCGGCGCCGGCGGCGTGATCGGCTGCACAGAGGCGCGGCGGCGCTGCGACTGGGACACTCGGTGCAGCACCGCGCTAGGCCGCTACATGGCCTACTGCGGCAAGCTCTTCAACGGCATGCGCTGCACCGAGCAGTGCCGCTCCGTCATCGAGGACATGATGGCCGTGCCCAAGGCGCTGCTGCTGAACGACTGCGTGTGCGACGGCCTCGAGCGGCCCATCTGCGAGTCGGTCAAGGAGAACATGGCCCGCCTCTGCTTCGGGGCCGACGTGGGCGCCAACGGCGCGGGCAGCAGCGGCGCCTCTGACGGGGCCCAAGAAGACTACGACGACGAGGACTACGAAGAGGAGCTCCCGCCCAGGAGCCGGGACGAGCTCGACGAGGTGGCGGCGGCGGCGGCTGCCGGAACGGGCATAAGCGGGGGGGACGGCTCCTGCCCGGGTCGCCTCGCTCTCTGGACTCTCCTGGCGGCCGCCTCCATTTTGCTGCTGCTCTCGTAGCCACACACGCCGCCGCCGCGGTTCTCTTCTGGGGAACCTGGGCTGGCCACATGGGCCTCGCTGCGGCCAAAGGGCCGCCGGGCTCCGTGTTCTTCTTTGAGGGGAAGACGAAGGGAGACCTTCTCACAAAGCTGCCTTCGCCTGCGCTGGATCGACACGGGATTCATAGTCAACCCCCATGTATCTCTTTCTAGCACCGATGCTCATTTTAAAGCAGTGTGCCTTAATTCCAGAACGAAGCTGCGCCTGAAAGCAAACCTCTGACGACTTCAGTGGAACTTTACCCCTTCCGTGAACCTTCCCTGGGACATTCCTTTGTGGAGGATGTCTTCTTTTATTCTGTATAAATATTTATCTCTGTTATCTGTGTATGGGCATTTCCCTCCCTTTCAAAATCATATTTGAAAGGGTGGTACTGTATTGGGTTTCTTTTTTATATATATAAAACTAGCCACTGTTCTAAATGAAATTCCTGGACTGTGGAATGTGTTCCTGGGCACTTCAATTCCAACAGTTTTTACTTGGAAGTGGGGCCTGTTGATAAGAGTTTAGGATTGCAACCTTAGGGCTGTTATACACATGGTCCCACACATTTTCTGTACATGGGAGACAACGTTCATACTCTTGTCATACATGTACATGCAGTGTTTGAGTGTGTGTACCTGTTGCAGCTTCCCAATATATATGGGTTTTGTCCTCTCCTTGTGTAGGGGAAATGGGTGTAAAAGCATCTTTCAGTGAGCGCTATGCAATTTGTTGCCCTTTGGCCTTTTAGCAGTAAGGAAATGACTGTAAAAATTAAAATAGTTGGCAAAGCTGCTGCAGGTTTAGTGCCACCATGCAAATGGTGACTGTGCTAATGGCTGTTTATGAAAGCTGTTGTCAGTGAAGGTAAGAAAGAGCTGGGCTTTTCTGAGAGTGCCTCCAAAACGAATGCCTTATTTGTTAGAACTAGTTGTCAACTGGAAATTAACCCCTCTGTGCCTGCATATACAGCATTCATAATAATGCCAGAAAGCAAACTCAATTTTGATTCTTTTTTATTGTGGGAGGGGGGAGAGAACAAAAAGACTTGAGTAAACCTGCAGGTTGTATGAAATCTTTTCACAGGTGTTAGATGTTAACTCAAAGGCAGACCTTTTCATGTAGAATAAAGCGTGAAAAGCACACAGAGTTCATCACATGTGATTATGATGCATCTGTCAATATTACTAAGTGTTTTTGTACTTGGTAGGAAGCCACAGTAAGTTGCGGCTTCCCAGCTTGTATACAGAGAGTGAAGGAGATGTGTGCACCATTGTCCCAGTGATGAGGCACAAACCATTTTCATGTTTATTCTACAGAGATGTGTTAGTGCAGTGTCTGAAGCAGTCCTTGCACACTCACAGTTGCACAACAAAAGCTCACCAGCAAACATCTCTTCCACCTCAACCTTAGGGTAAAATGGAAAATGCTGATCTGTTGGCTGTACTGAACAATGCAACCTTTGTCTTAAATGAGCTCTGCACTGCCATCTTCAAAAGACACTTTTTAAATTGGACTTGTATGTAAAAATATCCTGGAAAATTATATTGCCTCTGATCCTATCAGGGGGCTGACCTCTGGTAAATCTTATATGAGATGTATTTAAAACTGGGATTTGTTACCAGTCGCTCTAGGTTGTATATAGAATTTTATAGATTGTATACTTTGGGAATAATTTATTTTTGAAGAAATTAAAAGATTTAACTGCACCCCAGTTGCAATTTAAATTCATCTACTTTTTTTGCTAAGAAACAGATCTCATTTGATATGTAAAGGGATACAAGCAACAGTTAATTCCCATGAAAAAAGAGATCATATGTACAGTGTATTTTATAGATCTGAAGTTAACTTCCTTATTGTTTTGAGAGTTTATGAACTTTTTAGGATTGTATAAATGCCTTGCTGAACTGCCTTAAACATTGTATTTTTATAGAATGTGTGAAAAGGTTCTATGTTTTAAGTATCTATTGCTTGTGTATTTTTATGTGTAAATTAGTAAAGAGAGATTTTTTAAAGAATTAATATGGTGTAGTTGTTTTCCAGATGTTACACAGCTCTAGGAAGCCTTCTAGAGCTGGAGGAAATGGCAAGAGATTTGAACACAAATTGAAGTAGTTATTTAAGGCTGCAGTCTTCTGAACTGTTACTCTAAAGTAACCCTATGGAATTCAGTGGGATTGAAATCACTAGCTATTGTATCTTAAGTGGTTATTGGCAGTTCCTCTGCCTTGAATAAATAATTACCTAAAAGAACTAAATGTAGCTTTGGCAACAAATCTATTTACTGAACTTGGTTAGGCGTTTAGCCTTCAGCTGTGCTGGCATGGCAATGTGTCAGTGTTAAAGCTGAGAAGAAGAATTCCAAGTTTGTTTTCCAGTGATGCTATTTATCTTTATACAGAAGTATGATTGTAAGTCGCAGCATATTCTTTGAAGTAAGGAATTAGCATTGACACCAGATTTATTTAAAAAATCCAGTGTTTGTATACAAGACTTGTTCCTGTGGTTGCAGAAGTGATATTCCAGGAGCAGGCACGCAGGTGCTTGCAGAAATTTAAACCATTTCACCTTTCTTTTATACTGACGGGGACAGACATAAGCATGGGTGATCAACAATGACAAGGCCTTGTCTGATATTGTCCTTAGCAGTTGTTTTGCAGCCCGCTGCAGGCTGGTTTTCTGCCAGAGCTACTGATCTACACTCAAACGCCCTTAGATAAATAATTACGCTCTTAAGCTGTCTCGAGTGCTGATACACTTGACCTTGTAAATAGAAATGTTTGCAGTAAGAATAAACTCCGGCATTTGAAAATCTTTTAAACATTAACACAAAAGAGAGTGGAGTCCTCCAGGGGATTGCGTTTGAACTGTGCCAAGCTAGGCACTTGCTAAAAAAAGGTTTATTTATCTAGTATTCACCCTGTTTATTTAAAACTTTTCCTTTTCAACGCTGTGATTGGAAGGCAAGTCAGAAGATTAAAAGCCACAACAAATAAACCTTGACTGAGGAGTGGGAGGGTCACCAAACACTGTCATGTTTTCATAGTTAACATTTAACATTTTTAAGCTAAGGTAAAAGCAGGCCTACTACTTGTTTAGAGGCGATTAACTACATTGTAAATTTCTTTTTATAGCATCTGCTCTTTTCACCACATGCACATTTCCCACACCCTTTTTATTTAGACCAGTTTCTCCATCATTTCACCAAAGCTTACATGTATAGACAATTTTTTAAAAAACAACGCAAAGGAGTTGTGATATCAAGCAAGATTGCAAGTGTGTGCCTATGATCTAAATTTGTTTCTACGATCACCTGAATGGTTGAGTAAACCTATTGTTAAAACTGAAATCGGTTGTGTGAAGAGGAGAACAAAAAGGAAGGGGGAAGGCTTGTAAATGGAATCAGCTTCTTTAACTAAATGCTGTTTAAGGACAATCTTCAATGTATGTCCTCTCAGACTTTCATTGGTCAAATATATTTTATAATTTGTCAGCTTCCTGTTAACACAGGTCTCCTGACAGAAAAAAATTCCTGGTAAGAAAGAATTTTGGAACCAATGCTGAGCCATGGTTTTCTTTAACAATACATACATGAATAATAGAAAGGACTGATAATTAATTCCTCCAATGAACTCAAGATTTTGAGAACCTTCCATCAAAAGCAGCTGCCTGGAATAAGTTGAGCACTGTGATGTTCTGTGTAGGAATCTGTTATTGCTTTCTGTATGTGTCCTGCCTGTTGTACAGTCATGCAATTTGTTTTAATGTAAAGAATGGTTCTTAGATTACAAATCTGACTTCCCTATGATCTCCTTTCTAATAGGCAATAGTAAAAGCAGAGACATGTCTGAACTATGTAGGGAGGAAATCAAGCAACATAATGGCACATGTCTCCATTCTGTGAAACTTGTTCAGATACAAATATTTATACCTCACACTTCTCTCCAGCGGGGATCCAAAGCGGCTTTCAACATTGCTCTTTCCTTCACGTTATCCTCACAACAACAACAACCCTGTGAGGTAGGTTAGGCTGAGAGTGACTGGCCCAAGGTCAACTGGTGAGATTTCATGGCATTTCATGGGGATTTGATCCTAGTCCAACATTGGGGTTGGACTAGATGACCTTGGATACCCCATCCAACTCTTATGATTGTATAAACACAACAATTACACCATACTGGCTCTCATCTGCCTTAATGTCATGATTTTTTTTAATGGAAATTAGGTGTTTTTAGAACAACATCTTATTGGTGCATGAATTGTTCACCATCTTGTACTTCTTACGCCTATATTAGGTGACGTATACAAGGCCATCCTAAGCAGAGTTACAATGAAATCAATGAGCTTAGGAGGGTATAACTCTGCTGAAGGTGGCATTGACTGTCCATGGCTTCTTGGAACACTTTCTATTGACTTCACATGACCCCTCCTGTTCATTTCACTCAGTCACAACTCTTGTCAGCAATCTGGACAGCAGGTGAGGCCTGCCAAGTGCATCATTTGTATCTTGAGAAGCAAAAGTAGCCCTCACTTGGCTGATGCTTTTACAGGATTTTTGAAAGTTCTTCTAGGCTTGGCCCTCCTCTGACAAAATAAGTGGGGAGAGAAAGCTCCTCTCTTCTCCCTCCCTCCCTCTCTCTCTCCCTCCCTCCCTCTTAATCCTTCACCCCTCCCAATTTCATGTAAAATAATCCACAGGGTCCCCTTGTGCCCCCTTTCTTCCCAGTTATCAGGTTTGAATTCTCAGTGACAGTTTATTTGTCTTTGGAGGCACTTCAGTGACAAATGTTTAAGGGAGTGTGAGACAATGGTGGAGAACAAGAAGGCAGTTCATTGAACTGACAGTGACCATACAGTAAATAGAGGGAGATTCAAGCTTCACTGATCACCCAAGAGCGCTGCAAGGCTTTTGTACACACTCACAATAGACATAACATAAGGTCTCTGTTTATTTTAAACAATATATACCACTATACGTAGGCAGACATACATCACCTGAAAAATAAAAGCTGTGAAAACAAATCAAGTAGTGTGTTTTTAGGTGAGGTAAATCCACCAGTGTTTGCCAGTTTCTTTCCAGTCCTGAGATGATATGGCAGGAGAGGAGGCTTACAGAATCTCACATAATCTGGCACGCAAAATATTCATTTTTTTCCAAACTATATCTGCACTAAACCAGAAGGTTGATATATGGAGGCAACTACTAAGAAAGCAAGATGGATGTTACCTTTTTACAATCCCATCTAGTGCATTTTAGGAGAAATTTGGACTATCAGACTTCTTGTGTTCCCTGTATGTAAAATAATAACAATAAAATTACCAGTTCTCATGCAAACACAACCAAATCTTAAAGCACTCACAGTTTTCATCTAGAGAAATCGGCGACCCTTAACAAATTACAACTTGTTCACAACAGCAAAAAAAAAAAGGAATTACTCATGCAAGTACCATGATACAAACCCCTAAAGTTGTAAAATTGTTCTTTGCCAATGGTGGTTCTGTATGAAACGTTAGTTACAGCAATGCTTCTGAGCAATCTTGGGGGAATTTCTTGCAAAGGGATAATACAGGCATAATGGGGGATTTCATTGCTTCTGTCCTTTTAGACAGAAATAATTGGGCATGGCATATAGCATATTCCCTTGTGCCATACAATAAAGTATTAAACAGACACAAGGCTTCGATATGCATTGGCACCAAGCAAGGGCCAAGGTAAATTGGGAGGAGGTAAACTGCAAGAGAGCGGCATGTACAAATGCAACAGAAGTGAAATAGTTAACATGGAGGTTAACATAGGAGAAGAAGCAGTTCAAAGAACAGTATGTGTGAATGCAGGCTTACTGTATTTTACTTGAGGTATTGGCTGTGGTAGACAGTTGAAAAGCCTCACACTGACTATCTGAATGACACTAGTAATGCAGTATTAGCATAAATACTTTCTAAGGCATCCATTTAATCAATTTCTCCAATAATGGAATGATCTACTACAAAATAGTGGACTGTATACACTATATTTTGGCACAAAGATGGTCATTCTCCCACTAGTAACCAGGGACTCTAAATAAATGATTTCAACAATGTTTTATTAAAGGAGGACAAGAGCCCTCAAGCTGCATTAATCGGGGAGAAGTCGAGTGGCACTTTTGTCATGGAAATGTTAAGCACATAATAGTTCAGGCAAACAATGTGGAGCCACTTCATTCTTTCAGCCATGCTGACACCTCTTAAAGAGGAACTGCAGGGAAGGATGTGGGAAAGATTTGGTTTCTGGAGACCTTGTTTCAGCTCATATTTTGGAGGTGTACCTCTAAACTCCTTTACTGAAGAGTGTAACTGAGGGGTCTGAGCAACCATCCAGGAGCTGAGTTTGATTTTTTTAAGCTGGTGCAAAGGATATTTGTAGTGCAAACGTTTTCTTAAAGCTCTTCCTGTGATGGCATTTATTATATGACTGCTGGGCTACAAAACCTGCAGCAATAATTTACAGATGTTCTGGTATTAGTGACAGGGAACCACTGAATGGTCAAGTATATGCTCATCCAACAAGGGTGAACATATAATGTATATGGATTTGAAGTCTTCTGAGATAAGAACTTTGCACTAGGGTCTATGGGATGGTGAGATAACCTTGAATAAAGGAGAACATCTTAAAATTTACAAACAGATATTTTAAAAATAAGG